ATTGTGTTTGTGCTTCAAACAAACTGCCTCAGATCCACCTTCAAAATTATCAATTCACCCTTAACAGCTATGTCTATGTGCTACTGTCCATCAAATGAGTTTAATTTCAATAATAAAAATGGTATTACTCATTTTTATTATCTATATCACATTGCTCTTCATGCTTACTTATCCATTATCCTAAAATATCTACTATATATTTTCAGTTTGTTTTAGAGTCCCATATCTCGATGTTCATATGCTAATTTGCCTATTTATTCAATCTGCAATCTCTATCTCATGATTTATTTTCTCAGGCGGTTTGTAATGCTTAAAATGCTATGGCCATCCTCAATGATTTTATTTTAAATGTTGGGAGTTCGGAGAGCCCTAGGTTATAAAAGTGAGCTCTTTGAATAGAATTGCATTTGCTTCTACCTAAAAACTAATGATTTCAATGATCTGGGGTCAGTTTTTATGTTTATTTCTCAGTGTTCCTGACTTAAGCTGGTATTATTTGGGCCAATGCCTGTGACTTTTGTCCTACCGAAGGTTATGGAGGCCTACTTCCTTGCCCTTTTGACTTATCACTCGACAGATTTCCAGGAAGGGGCAGCTCTTCAAGGCTCCAGGGTGAGAGGTCCAATTCCAGGGACTTCCCCCACCCCACCAGTTCCCCAGTTCATGTCTCCTTGTTGGAGCACTGATTTTAGGACCCCAAACTTGAGGCCTTATTTTGGTTTCAAATGTCCTTGGGCTGTGGTGGAGTCAGCTTGTACTTACTACTCTAGTTTTTATTTCTAGAACCTATACATTTACCTACCTCTTTGCCCACGATCACCACTCCCACTGAATGTCACTGCTTCACAGTCCAGTACTGTCCCTTTCCTATGCCCTCACTAGGATTTCACGATGCTGTTCACTCCTGAAAGCCCTTTCCTACCCCTGTGGTTAACTCTTCTCATCCGTCAGCTGCAGTTTTCCCAGGATGCCTCTCTGCCCCGTCAGACCGCTCCCACAGGAACTTGCACTGACCCCATCACAGCACACTGATCCACTTTGTGGTGAGAACTGTCATCTTGCTGCTGAACTCACCAAACTGTAAAGCTCTGAGGACAGGGACAGAGGCACCCAGCTCCCTGCCCATCACACAACAGGCACTCACACACAGAGCACGCAGGTCTTTTACGTCTTTCTCTGGAAGGACGGACAATTTCTTATTAATTCTTATTCATGTATCCAGCAAACCATGTGCTGGACAAGGAATGAATACGGAAGACAGTTTACTGCTTGGATTGTGAGTAAACTGACACTCTTAGTGGTTCCTAACTTGACAGAGCCGCAGCTCATTGCAAGGAGTCTGATTCAGACTGCCCTGGGACAATCCAAATGCAAGTCACACAAAGCTGTGCATTCGGAAAAAAATCATTTTACTTTGAGGATTTAAATAAACTTTAATAAGCACAAAACTAGACATCCAGTAATTTAATGAGGCTACAATAATGACTACTGGTCCAGACAAAACTTCCAAACTCCCTCTTCCCCCAAGTCTTGCAAGGTAGAACCCATGCCCAGTGAAGCCGAAGGAAGCCTCCTTGTTTTCATGTTGTACGAACTACAAGAGTCCCTACTATGGAAAGGGTTCTGTTCTCACAGGACCTGGCTTTCCAAAGGAAAAGAATATAACAGCACCTCATAAAAGTTGCCATTTCTAGCCCGGCCGGTGTGGCTCTGTGGTTGAGTGTTGACCTATGAACCAGAAGGTCATGGTTCGATTCTGGGTCTGGGCATATGCTTGGGGTTTTGGGCTGGATCCCCAATAGGGGGCATGCAAAAGGCAGCCAATCAATGTTTCTCTCTCATTATTGATGTTTCTATCTTTCCCTCCCTCTCTGAAATCAATTAAAAAAATATAAATTAAAAACTGCCATTTTAAAATGCCCTTCAGAATCATGAAATGAGATTTCCAATGCTTGTTTGTATTTATGTTGGCAGCCTGAGAAACTGAGATGAAGGCAAACAGATCCCCAGCAGCAGAGTGAAGGGAGGAAGGGAGTCCTTGGTGGGACAAGAGATGAGAAGGAACAGGAGGCGGCAGTGCTGTGGAAAGAGCACCGGACTAGGTACCCAAAGATGGAGGGCCCAGGAGGGTTTCATGGGATAACACACAAGGGCCCTTGTAAAGGGTAAAACCCGCTGCAGATAACTGCTCTCCTCACACACAGGATTAGCTGAGATTTGGGTGAGTTTATGATCTAAAATGTGCTTGCAACTGTCAGGTATCAGTGTCAGAGCTAGAAAATGGACACTGCTTTATTCTTTAATTCACGGGGTGTACTACACTCTAAGTGTCTCTTGCAAACTGGTTGTCCTCGCTATTCTAACACTTTTCCATTCAATGTCTGTCCTTGGAAGGGTTCCACAATAGCTAAAAACTGAACAAAAGGATGACACAGAGAGAATGTGAAGCCGGGCCAGGAAGAGTGAAAGACTTGGTTCCAGAAGGTTCTGAAATGATGTGTGCAGACATGTTTCCTATAGCTACTCAAGAGTGTGTATTCCTATGAAGCAGAACTGGGGAGAGATGTGGAAAAGGTAAGTCCTTTCTCCAATCCTGGTCCAGCTGTCTCTGCTTCTTACTGAAGTGTCACAGCCCGTGAAGACCTTACAGAATCCAACTGACAAGAACGGGAAACTGCAGGCAATGGAAGGGTACCTGCTTCTCTACCTTAAAGTATTGCTATTTGCGGGGGTCATTCTGGAGCCTAAATGACAAAGTCTGTAGTGATATCTGTCTCAAGGAGAGACAGTGACCTATTTAGTAGCAAACAATTTTCAGAAGAAAACAGTGATCAGAAAGGTTCAAATGATTCTATTTAGCAGACATTGCTATCCCTTCCAGTCTCCATTCTTGTCTTACACTAATTCAGATCCATAACCTAGAAATTTGAGCATGACTGCTTACTGGGTCATTGCAACAGATCTTCTTTCTCATTTGCTCTAGAATAGAAATCAACTAATAACAATTGTTAGCTGCCCTTTTCCAATGCTGTATTGTTCTTTAAAACTAAAGATTAGCCCAGTATGACCCCACTACTGAAGATTCTTTTGTTGTGTTAACTGTCATATACACAAAATGTTTCTCCATGCTTCCCATATAAGGGGTAGGGCTTTGGAACCCTTTGCTGGACCCCTCTCCTCACTTACTAGCCATGTGACACTCCCTAAGTCTCATCTTCAAAATGTGGCTCATACCACCTCAGGTGGCTGTCGTAAGAGCAAGTGAAGTAACATACAGAACCACTCAGCATACAGCCTGGCAAAGGGCAGATGCCCAATATATTTTGTTCTCTT